CACACACACACTGCACCCCTGACACTCACAGCAGACACACACTGCACCCCTGACACTCACAGCACACACACTGCACCCCTGACACTCATAGCACACACACACACACTGCACCCCTGACACTCACAGCACCCTCACTCTCTCTCACACACACACACACACTGCACCCCTGACACTCACAGCACCCTCACTCACACACACACACCGCACCCCTGAGATTCACAGCACACACACACTGCACCCACACACACACACACACACTGCACCCCTGACATGCACAGCACCCTCACTCACACACACTACACCCCTGACACAGCACACACACACACACTCACATCACCCTCACTCACACACACACACTGCACACCTAACACTTACAGAACCCTCACACACACACACTGCACCCCTGAGACTCACAGCACACACACACTGCACCGCTGACACTCACAGCACACACACACACACTGCACCCCTGACATGAACAGCACCCTCACTCACACACACTGCACCCCTGACACAGCACACACACACACACACACACACTCACATCACCCTCACTCACACACACACACTGCACACCTAACACTTATAGCACCCTCACACACACACACACACACAGACACTGCACCCCTAACACTTACAGCACCCACACACTGCACCCCTGACATGCACAGCACACACCCTATCTGGCCCCGCCCCCTTTGTAGTGGGCCGCTGTAATTAAAAAATGCCCGGGCCGAATTATCTTCCCAGTCCGGCCCTGCTCAGAGACATGGCCAAGGTAAGAAAGGCTGAAAGATGACCACCACTGAACAAGACACACAAGCTGAAACGTCAAGACTGGGCCAAGAAATATCTCAAGACTGATTTTTCTATGGTTTTATGGACTGATGAAATGAGAGTGAGTCTTGATGGGCCAGATGGATGGGCCCGTGGCTGGATTGGTAAAGGGCAGAGAGCTCCAGTCCGACTCAGACGCCAGCAAGGTGGAGGTGGAGTACTGGTTTGGGCTGGTATCATCAAAGATGAGCTTGTGGGGCCTTTTCGGGTTGAGGATGGAGTCAAGCTCAACTCCCAGTCCTACTTCCAGTTCCTGGAAGACACCTTCTTCAAGCAGTGGTACAGGAAGAAGTCTGCATCCTTCAAGAAAAACATGATTTTCATGCAGGACAATGCTCCATCACACGCGTCCAAGTACTCCACAGCGTGGCTGGCAAGAAAGGGTATAAAAGAAGAAAATCTAATGACATGGCCTCCTTGTTCACCTGATCTGAACCCCATTGAGAACCTGTGGTCCATCATCAAATGTGAGATTTACAAGGAGGGAAAACAGTACACCTCTCTGAACAGTGTCTGGGAGGCTGTGGTTGCTGCTGCACGCAATGTTGATGGTGAACAGATCAAAACACTGACAGAATCCATGGATGGCAGGCTTTTGAGTGTCCTTGCAAAGAAAGGTGGCTATATTGGTCACTGATTTGTTTTTGTTTTGTTTTTGAATGTCAGAAATGTATATTTGTGAATGTTGAGATGTTATATTGGTTTCACTGGTAATAATAAATAATTGAAATGGGTATATATTTGTTTTTTGTTAAGTTGCCTAATAATTATGCACAGTAATAGTCACCTGCACACACAGATATCCCCCTAACATAGCTATAACTAAAAACAAACTAAAAACTACTTCCAAAAATATTCAGCTTTGATATTAATGAGTTTTTTGGGTTCATTGAGAACATGGTTGTTGTTCAATAATAAAATTAATCCTTAAAAATACAACTTGCCTAATAATTCTGCACTCCCTGTAGGTCCACTCTATAATACAGAATTATTATTCACTACTTAGATACTCACTATGAATATGTTTACAATATGAAACACATTTGTTTTCTGGATGCCCTGTCGTTATCTTGTGCTGCCTGAAATTATTGCTTTAGTTTATTATTTGCAATTAATGTTTACATGTAGCCTATTAATGCTATTAAGAGTTTTTTTCTACTAATTTTGTTTCTGGCAGAAGTGGGATCACTGTGTTTTAACGAACACAGATGCTTTTCCTGTAACCACACATACTGAATAGATGATTCCATGTTTTGAAAGAAGGGATCTTTCCTGAGATCAAAATGTTGAATTTTGGGAGGTGCAGATTTTTTTACTTCTTACCGAATAATGTTTTATATTACAGTCACTAAGGGGAATTATCAAGACCCTCATTTTTAATAGTATGTTTTCTTTTCTCTATATTTATTTAACAAAGATGTATTTGTGGGGGGGGCGGAGCTTGACAGCCAAGCTGAGTGGTCGCACCTTAGCAGAGCTCCTGTCTAAACAGCCTGAAAACCAAGCAAATTCGCTGCAAAACCTGCAAATTCAATGCTTTCTACACCCCAGCCACTGGGGTCTAATATCGAGACAAAACATAATCAAGCCCGGGACCACAAAATGCGACCGATTCCAGGGGATGGACCTGAGGCCTACCTGCGGCCTACTCAGGAAGCATGGGGGAGACGGCCGATCCCTCAGCCGACTGCAGCCTATAATAAAGGAGGTCTCCCCGGAACACTCTCTCCCCCCCCCCTGCCGGTGAGGGATATCCCGGCATCTAGAACATGGGGATCAGAACGGCGAAACAGAGCTCAGCCATCTTGCACCGCCGGACCGCCGATACACAGCATGGCAGAGACCACGTGGCTCCCAGCATCCAAGCCCAGCTTGCCTCCACTGTCGGAGCGGCTAGACCGCCTATTCAGCAATTTTTGGGCCAAAATCATCAGCCGCAGAGACGCCCAGGCACAAGTCCCACCGGCATCAGCCACAAAGGACATAACACAGCGGCCTGCAGCCCCGGTGCGGAACCCGAGAAAGATCGAGATAGCAGGGAGGGAGAGGCAGAAGAAATGCCGAAAGCCCCAGCGCCCAACTCTTAGACCACTGGTGAGTTGCCCAAAGCCTCAATGGAGACAATCTCCAGGGCTGCCCCCTCACCACCCATCTCACCCGCAAAAAGTCCTACCTGACAAAGCAAACCTCCACCACTACAGGCCGGATGCCTGGCACTTAGCCACATATCTGCCTTTGTCGCTCCAGGCGACAAGGGCTCTCGGGAACTGCGCTTGGCGCCCAGAAGGGATCGGATGATCACAGGCTGGAGACTGGAGCCAGCCAGGCATATCTTGTTATAGCTGGACTTCCACACCATGTCCCTTAACACAAGAACTGCTCTTTGCATACTAGCTAAACGTAAAGTAAACGTCTTTATTCTATCAGTAATCCATCCCTTGCAGAGTTTTTGCCGTTGTCTCTCATATGTGTTTACCTTAACTGCTCACACATTATTTTACTTACTAGCCCTACCTGGCAACCCAAGCTTGTTTAAAACTAGAAGTGAAAATGTTGATTTATTTTTACATTTAAAAACGTGCAGCCAGTGCCTTAAGCAAAATGCTCCCATTATTACCAATGCACCGTTACACACTCACAATCTTAAGAGCAACTAGCTTTGTCACATGGTTATCTAGCCTAACATGTTATTTTATAAAATACTGATGTCTAATAGCCTGTTATCTTCGTGTTATACAAAAAATGTGCTGTCTACACTGCCACACTTTGTAAAGTTATGAAAATGCCTGTGGAGGCTGTTGTGGCCCTGCACGCTTGTTGTTAATCCTTGCACAAGAAAAATAAAGAATTTAAAAAAAAAAAGATGTATTTGTGATTTGTGGAAGCTAAAAATAAATGTAGAAATCCACAACGCTTTATCCAGCAGCTGGGCGCCTCCATCTTAGCTCCCTGTCAGCCATTGTTAAATAACACCGTCCTTTGCGCTGTTATACAGAGAATTGGAGAAACTAAGCATTGTTTCTATTTCTCCTCTTAATTTGTAATGTACCCATGACTTCGCCTTGTCTGAACTGCATTATAATGTAATTTGCTAAATCTTTCATTTACATTTTAAAGAAAACCAAACATTTTACGAAAAAGGTTGAGACAAGTTATAGATGGCTACAAGGGGTACAACGTTTCTAGGTTTATTACAAACGTAGTAGCAACTATGACCAGATCTGTTAAAAAGAGAGTTGAGATACAGCGCAAGTGTTAAAATATACATTTTGAGTTCAGTTAAAGGACCACTATAGTGCCAGGAAAACAAACTCGTTTTCCTGGCACTATAGTTCCCTGAGGGTGCCCCTACCCTCAGGGATCCTCTCCCACCGGGCTGAATGGAGAGGAAGGGGGTTAAACACTCACCTTTCTCCAGCGCCGGGCTCCCTCGGCGCTGGGGACTCTCCTCCTCCTTTGGCCATCATCGGCTGAATGCGCATGCACGGCAAGAGACGCGCGTGCATTCAGCCAGTCCATAGGAAAACATTCTCAATGCTTTCCTATGGACGCTGGCGTCTTCTCACTGTGAAAATCACAGTGAGAAGCGCGGAAGCGCCTCTACCGGCTGTCAATGAGACAGCCACTAGAGGCTGGATTAACCCATATGTAAACATAGCAGTTTCTCTGAAACTGCTATGTTTACAGCTGCAGGGTTAATCCTAGATGGACCTGGCACCCAGACCACTTTATTGAGCTGAAGTGGACTGGGTGCCTATAGTGGTCCTTTAAGGTTCAATTACTTAAATTTTGGGAAATGTTTGAGGATATTAGGTATAAGCGAAAGCAAACAATTTTTTATATCAAATTAATTGCCTGGATTTCCAGACATGATTATATCTGACTATACTAAAAGTAGAAGCACCTGTACAGAAATATATTGTATATTTTAGCTAGGTTTGTAAAATATGTATTGCCCTTCATAAAATGGAGGTTTCTTCTGCTCCATTCAAGGAAGGTGTACCTAGCAATCAGAGATGTAAATAAAAAATGTATGTAGTTAAGAAATCCTTAATACATTTTTTTTTTTAAATGTAATATAAATTGAGAGCCTGTTTGGAGATGTATTTAATTATCTCTCCCTGCACCAAAAAAGCTCACATGGGAGATAAATACTGTTACTTCACCAGGACAGTTTTCTGTTACAGTGCCTGTCTAAGTACCAAATCCACTTCAGCTTAAAAAAGGTGAATGGGGTGCATATATCTTGCCAATGGAGTCTACAGAGTCTATATATTAACCATACTTCCCCTAGTTGTTAACCCAGGCTCCTTTCACACAGACCCTCACATTCAGCTTGGCATCAGAAGTGTGTTTTCTTTAGGACTTTTAGAGGGTAGGTGGTCTTTCCTGTCTTCCTGTTAAGAGATGTAAAGCAGCTAATGTCGTTCAGGTCAGAGGCATGGTTATGGCTTGCAAGGGAGGCGAGAGTCCATTTTATCTCTCTGCTCAGAGATATGAAGCAACTAATCCCTGCATAAAGCATTACTCCATGCCAGCAGCCTCCTGTGTGAGAAAATGTGCAAACTTAGAACTTGACTTTATTTATTTTTTTATGTCATTTATAAAAGATCCAGTGTTTATTATTTAATAATGTTATATTTACTGTTTAACCAATGGATGTATTTATCCATGTTTTTATACTCATGAAACTGTTATTTGAGTAAGTGAGCATATTATATTATGCTTACTGCGTCCTCAATGTATGGGAAGCATTTAATTACACACAGTCCTGCACTAATAAGGAAGTTTGGGCTGGTCAAAAGAAGGTAG